GGCGGAGAAACAGGTGGGGACCGGGTCAGGGAAGAATGAAGGAAGTGAAATGGGTGAAGAGGGAAGAAGGAAGTGAAGAGGGAGGAGGGTGGAGCTGATGGAGGTTATGATTATGGTGGAGACGTGGGGGGGGGTGGACCTAGTGGGCGCCCATATAGAAGTTTTTGTTGTTGGTATGGTTTGGGGTGTGGGCTTGGGAGCGGATGAAGTGGGCCTGGGAGCTTGGGATTTGAAGGTCTTCATTGGTTTTTGACATGTTTTGGCTATGCTTCATGGATGCACAAATATAGTCATAGTATGTCATAGTATCATGGCCCAGAGAGACCACTAGCGTGCGATGTGTTTTGTTAATGACCCTCCCTGTACCTCACACATCTACCATGGCAATATCACATGTGCCCTGGGTTGGTTTCCAACGTGACATTTGCACTTGTACTGGTAATTTTGGTTGTCATTGTGAAATCCACATGTTGCCAGGTCGCCAAATGCATCCAGTGCATCAGGAGAGGGTGACCAAGGAGAAACGCGACATGAATAAGGTTGCAGAAGTATCGTTAGCCGGAGATAGCAACAGGATTAAGTGTACCATGTCTGATTTGTTTGGTGGAAGTATAACCAAACAGAATTTCAAGACAAAGGCGCACAACATATAGAAAGACAACATTTGGTAAAGCAGGCTTTATAGGTCGTATTTAAAAAAAAAACAAAATCCGGCCCGGAATCGCTCGCCAGGAGCTATACCCCTGAAATCGCGAAATATGTGAAGCTTTTATCTCTGGCCTTTCGTCTTCTCCTCCAACCAGACGGAACAGACGGTCGTCCGCCTCCACGACTGGACGCCGTGGCGGAACGGCTCAACGTGGAACTGCGCGGGGCGCGGGGCGGTGCTACACGCTTGGCCGAGCTGCTGGTGGGTCGTCGCTGGGCCTCAGACCGTGGATCACCGGCGGGGTCACCGAAATGGCGGAATTGCTAGAGATATTGGGGGACACTGCAGACACCAAGAAGAGTTCTGGCGGGTTCAGTTCGGTGAAGCTTGTTGTTCCGGGCAAAGTGACTGAGTCAGGGGAGTTGATGACTGCGGAGTTGATGTCGTTGATGTGCCCCGAACCTGGACCTTCCAACAGGTGGGTGTTTGGACCCGACTCAGAGGGGGAATTTGGACACGTGTTGTCACCAGGCACCTGTTGGAGGGTCCAGGAAATCATCATAGATTAAGCCGGGTTTCAGTCCCTAGCTGCCTACCTGGAAGATCATGGAAGTGGAGTTCACCACCTGTTTGGTCTTCCACTTCCATGATGTTTGCGCACTTGCATGTGCGCTGAGTAGGTGACCGTTCAGGCTGGCTTGGTCCCAACCTGGAGATTTGTGACATGTGGGCATCCTCAAAAATACCTGAATACACCCGCTTGCCTTCCAGTCGACCATATGGTAATAACAAGAACGCATGGGAATGACCAGGTTTTCTAGTGTAAAAATCCAGTAAAACAAGGGTTGTTCGTTTCTAGAGCCCTATAGCCTATAGGGTATAGAAAAAAAACAAACATGTCCGACTTGCAAATGTTCCTTTCGTCTCCATCCTCGCACTACAGATCACGAACTGACTGAAGTTGATGCGACTCGATGAGGTTCGTCAGGATTTGGCCCCGGACCATTGATCCGACCAACATCATGTGAAATGGTCAATCATGTCTAGCGCTATCTAGCGCTATCTAGCCAAGCCAACCAGTGGTTCTGGCAAGAGAATGTGGATCGGACGCAGGAGAACAGTTCTGGGACCCACATCCTGATCGTTCTCAACATGAAAAACCGTCTTCACGTCTTCACGTCGACCATCAAAGCCAATCAAAAACCTACCTGGTTCCTCAGTTCGTGACCGTACTTGATCACCTGGTTGGTTCGGTCACTTTACTTCGCCTCCTGTTTGGGTCACTTCATATAGGAACCTTCAAGGAACCGGTCACGAACTGTCAGAAGCTGGAATTAAAGATCCGGTAGAAGACAGAACCCAGGCTCGGTCCCACAAGTTGGTGCTGAGTCGTTGGAGAGGACCATGGACGGACTCGCTGAGGAAATCGGAATGAATCGGAAGCTTCGTCGATCAGTTCTTAGCAAGCGAAGGAGCATCCACAATTCCACACAGGTTTGTTTGGCCAGGACCACCCAAAAGATGGTTCATTATAAGATGTATTTTCCATCCAATAACCACTCTTTGGGTGGTGCTGCTAGGATATTTTTCGTAGCATGCCTGTAATGACATGTTTGGGAAATCAGATCAGACACCCTTTTGACCAAGAACACCCCATCATGTTATATGAGATTATACAAGTACAGACGTGTGTGTGTGTGTGTGTCCGTTTCCCCTGGGACTTCCAAGATCTTGACTTCCAAGACGCATGATCAACCACCCCACGGATGCCAACCAGCCAGCCGCTTTCTCCCCTCTTTCGATCCGAAGGATCGCGATCCTTCGGGCCATCTTTCGGGCGGTGTATTCGGACCGAATTTGGGGCAAGGTAAAGATCCCATGACCTCCACGAGCTTGGAGGAAGGTTTTCCCAGCATCTTGCACTATATGCATCTGGGCGTGATTTTCTGGAGTCGGACGAAGACACACGATCGGAGCGTGGTTTTTGGGATGGTTTTTCTTCGGACATGTGTTTTTTTTTGACGGAGGTGTGGTCTGGCCATGCCTGGCCATGGGGTGGCGCCTGAGTCAAAACAGTGATATGTTCGATCGAGATTGGGGGGCGCCCAAGCTCGAGTGGTTACAACACACCGGGTTTTTGTGCTACTCACCCTGGGCCTGACTTTGTTGAACAGGATTCTGGTGTGCAAAATGCAGACCCCTCCAGTCGTAGCTCCAAAGCTACGACTGGACATGACTGGCACCCGGGCCCTGGTCGTCCCACTGAAAGGAAACGGAAGTCTCTCCTTGACCCAACACGAATGAATAGGACCAGCGCCTTGATCGATCCACATGACGCAGTCGCGCAGTCGATCAAGAAGCAATCGATCGGATCACTTCGAGGGTCTACTAGTCCCTCCAACAGATTTTTGCTGTACCAGGACCTCTCCCAGTGACCGAACTTGAGATCCCAGTGGCGAACAGGTAGCGAAACGGCCTTGAACAGGTCACGTCTACCAATCCTGAAGAGGTCACCGGCAAGGTTCTGGTAGAGGAAAATGGTCTTTCCACGGGCCATGGCATCCATTGATTGTTGGAGGGTATATAGCCCTAAGGGTCCAGGACCATCCGAATCGGATGTCCTTTGACCCCCCAAGACCATTCTCTGGAAGTACTTTCACCTCCAAGACCATCCTCAGGAGGTACCTGGACCCTATGGGAGTTGACGATTTGACCACGTTCATCCATCAACTGATCCCGATGGTTTGGTGAAAGTTGTTCACAAACGTTCCCATGGTGTTCCTTTGGAGTGTCCCCTTTCCCATGCCAATCCTCCAGTTGTGGGAACCATCTGCAGAAAATTCCTTCCAGTTGAACGGACAAATTAATTATACCGCCAAATTCTGACCCCAAAACCAGGTTTTCCCATGCTGACAGCTGCTGACCTTCTGGAATCTGCCAAGATCATTTTTTGTTCAGCTGAGCCCGAAGAAGATGACCCCAAATCATCCCCAAAGACATCCCAGGTTCCGCTACCACGACTCCTTCCCAGCTCTCCTCCTCGCCCAAGCCAATGCGGGCGGTGAGTGTGTGCACCGGGGCACGCTGCTGGGAGCCCTGGCCGGCGCCGCGCATGGCATGAAGGGTATTCCAGCGGAGTGGCTTTCGGGCTTGGTGGAGCGGCAGAAGATCAAAGAAGCTCGGCAGAGTGATTGAAAGCCAAAAAGGAGGAGGTAGTGGAGGAGGTAACTCTGATCCACAAAAAGTCCCGAACACGACCTATATGGGACTTATATTTAATGTGTCACGAAACATTGATCCCTTTTCAACCACCGAAGTTGTCTATCGAGTTTTGTGGAGTGTTTGGTTCTGAAGAGACTGATTCACTGAGAGTGATCAGTTATCTAAAGATCATCCGGTTTACGCAACCGACCTTCCAAAAAAAATTATCCTTTAGAAAGTGGAGCTGGTGAAGTACAGAAGATCGTGACCTGTTGGAGGCTGCAGGCAGACCTTTGGGATGTGTTGGGTCACGTTTTTTGGGGCTACAGTGCTTTCAGAGGGTTCGATGGCTACTTTTGGGCACACCTTAAGATGTCTTTTGTATACCAGCACCCTCCTGGCCAGGCTGTTAGTTGAGGGTTGTTGGACCCTGTATCAGGTCTCAATTGGTCCGAGGTCCATGAATAAACCCAACTTGGGGGCCCAGACGTGCCATTGGTAATGCATCCATCCACCATGCCATCTGACCCTAACCATTCAAGGGACCCCTCCATCGTTGCCGCCCGGGGGATAGATGGTTTGATGGGCTGACCCGTCGGGAATCCATCATCCGATGCAGTGAACCCGCCAATCAACCTCGCCGATGCGAGGAAACTCGCGAGTTTCGCCAAGAGCGTTTTCGAACCAAGTGGGATCGGTGGAGAACCGAGTCGACAGATGGGATTTTAACGTACAGATTTCCGGTGTGCAGCGTCTATAGTCGACTACTACTATACATGGACTTTTCCAGTGAAGAATCCCACTAATTCTCAGTGCTTCATGTGACATGTCCCAGTGTTCGATCACATCTCAGTGATCCACGCTTCGTGCCTCCTTTGCTTTGCCCCAACCCCCAATATATAAGACGTCGACACTCGCCGCGGCCCCCAAGACACTCGCACCCGCGGCATGACGGCGCCCGTGGGGCCGGGTCTGTTGAGGAAGAGATCGAAGCATACGTAGCAGCTCTTTGCCATTGAGAGTGACCCTGCCTATGGCAGCCTATGCGGACGACCGGCGATGTACGTGGAGAAGCACGCTTGGTGATGAAAGCTGAACATCGTGGATGGCCATTGCAGGCTAAGCGATAAGCTCGGAGTGAGCAGTTCCAATGATCCAAGACGAAGCCACTCAAGTCGAAGGGATGTTCGAAGCGGCGGCACTGAAGCCGCTGGTTGGGACCTCCGTATGGGACCCGGTGACCAAGCACATCATGTGCTTCTGTTCGGATGACATGGGTCCTGGTCCGGAAGCCCACGCGACGGGTCCGGAAGCGGAGGTCCAGTCGAGTACTTCGTCGGTGTGCCGACGGAACCGATGCTTCGCAGACGGGCGGAAAAGTGGCGATCGAAGCGACGCAGAAGTGGGTGGCACCGATCGCAAGTGGGTGGCACCGATCGCAGGCGAGTGGAGCTCTTGGAAGTGGAAAGACCTCCTGAATTGGCGGCGCTCCCCTCTCAATAAAGACCTCCTGAATCATGATGCCTTAGGAAGACCATGTGAAGACCATGAAATCCTAAACAGCACGACTGTTCTCGGTGATCTTAGATCTTCCACCAATGACCTCATTATGACTGGGCGTACGTAAACACCATCAAACACCCAGGTTTGGACCAGGGTCCGGTCCTGGACTTATATGCCTGTAGCATGTTCTGCCAGATGGACGTTTCCCTATTCCCACTTCGGATGTGTGTCAGATCCTGTTTCACCACGATCCTTGTTTCGTTTGACGTCGCCGAGCAGACGGAGGAAGCGGTCTGAAGAGGTCTGAAGCGATCAATTCCGTCACGCACCGATCAACGTAGTTCATTTTTTTGCACCCGCCCTACCAGCGTCCTACCATCCAAAGATATCCAAGAAACATCCGCAACAGAGTGCTGCTGGTGGTTTCTTATTTCTTTCGTCGCTTTGCCTTGTTGTTTGCAGAGCTGAGCAGTGCGTTTCCAACATGCTGTTAGCCTGTTGACTTAACTTTCACGGCTTGGCGTCTTGCTTGTCTCGGCGTTTTGGTCTCGGCGCATGGCGGCCAGAGAGTTTTTTGTATGTTTTTTGTTTGGCAGTCAATCGCCCTACCCAACAAGAGCTCTGGCACGAGATCAGATGATCGATGTTATGTTCAACTGATCTCATGAGCTCTTGTCACACCGCTGGCCGGGTGTGGGGCTGCACCACGAGGACATTCCTGTGACAAAAGGGCCAAGAATGTCGAGGCGTTTGAGGCCAACCCACTTGGTGCCTAAGTGGATGACAGTGAGACCATGGGCTAATGTGCTCACTGGGCTCCTCTTGGGCGGCTCTTCGACGCCAAATCCTTCGGGAAATGGCTGAAGGGTCCATCCCATCTCGTGACTGCGAATTAGGGAAGGCCTGTCTTGAGTCTCAATACATCTCAATACAAACATGCCAACCAAAACGCCTGTTGAACAGACCGCCCAGCTTTGCCTTCTTCATTGTCGCCGCAAAAAAAAGGACAAAAGGTGCTCCGCCATCCCACGCAGCTCATACCACGGTGCTTGCTGGGAAATGGGAGCCCGAACGCATGGTGGTCCACGGTCGCTCCCAGTTGGGACGCCCGCCGTTTCACGGCGCGACCTTGGGAACCTCGGGATGATCGAAGTTCCTCGGGAGATCCGGAGACCAAACCCATAGGGTCCAGGTACCGACCCGTACTTCGGATGGTCGAACGGAGGTGAGTACGTACGAAAACAGAGAATGGTCGTTGCCGGGGGGTCATTCAGGACATCCGAGCAACGGATGGTCCTGGACCCTTAGGGAAAGAAAGGACCTTTCTCGGCTGGGGGCTGAAATGCTTGGACAGGGACCCCCGGCCCCTGTCCATTTCAGTAATAGTAATGACCTGTTTGGCAGGGTGCAGGTGATGAAAGCATTTGGCAAGTTCTGGACATGCCCTGAGCTTTGAATCCTTAGATCAGGCGATGTATGACAAACCGCTGGGTAGGCCTGTGGGACCTACCTTTTGATCGAGGCAGTGATGTTCATGTACTTGGTGGTGTTTTCAGATCTTGTTTATGTTCAACCTTTACTTGGGATGATTGAGCCTACTGCCGTGCTGTTTTTTTCAAGTGAGTCGAAACCACCGACCAGATGTACATGTGAAAACACACGCAGGTAGTGTGTGTTGGGAATCACATATTATTCAATCTCGTTCTTGCAAGCTTTCCCTACACCTCCAGTCGTTCAGGTTCGGTATGACTGGACGTACCTCCCTGGCACCCACCCCGGTCGTCCCACCTTCTCAGAGCGGTTCGGTACGACTGGAGGCCGGGTAGATCTCCCACCTCAGAAGGGGACCGATCCGGCTTTGCATGACCCCACCGAGTCGAAGCCCACGAGTCACCGAGTCGGAGTCCCTGGAGGTCTCTGGGTTGGCCGGAAGCTGCATGGGTTTGGACACAGACCGAACTTGTATCCATCCCACTTGCCACAAGCGCGGAGTGCAAAGCGGGTGTTCCTGGAGTCAGGCTGAGTGGCATCGATCTTCGAAGGGGTACTATATTGGACCTGGGTTTGGATTTGGTTAGCTGGACCTCCATTGTTGGTGGGCGGGTCGATTCTTTGTGAGACTCTTTTCTTTGGCCAGGAAGAAGTGGAGGACGTGGTTTCCGCATGTGGACGGATTGTCAGATGGAATCGAACGGGGAACTTGGGTCTACAATACTATATGTTAGATGGAATGTCCATTAAAATTGGTTTCAGTGGGTTTGGAACTTGCCACCTTTGTTTCACGAGATGAAACATTTGTGAATCCTGCGAGGGGTTGATTGGCTTTTTTTTGGGGTTTCAGTTTAGGAGGATTACCTTCATCCGGCCAGGCGATCCATATTTGTACCGTTTGTACCTTGGGGAGAAGAGCAGGTGGAGTCTGCTTGCCATCAGAGGCTCGATGGCACAATCCCCAAGGTCGGTGGTTGATGTGGAGACCCATATAAAAGACATCTTTGGGTTTGTGCCATCTATTCTGAAACCACTGTATTTTTTTTCCTGGAGTCAAGAGTTTGAGGCGTTCAACTTCCATGGAACATTTTATCATCCATCGCCATAAAACTGGACCTTCCAGAGTGCCCTAGAAAATGGGACGGTCCGACCCTTAAAAACAGCAGTTCTGGTACAATTTTAGAAGCATATTTATAGACATTCCAGGTAGACGGTAGACATGGAAAGGTATGAATCCATGGAATGGATGGCTTGGACATGTACAATGAGTCACGGATGCTTTCCCATAGATGACAGTTTGGATCCACAGAAACCATCCAATCCTAAGTGTATTTCTTGATTCCATCCACGATCGCGAGCAGCGCAGGAGGATTTGCCGACGCTGGAGATCCAACCGTGACTGGGCGGCAGATCTGGTCGGAAGGTGGCAATCTGAACGAGTCAGACTCCCAGACCATCCATGGGACTGGAGTAATACAGCTGGGAAGGATTCACATGGAACCTCCAAAGGGACCTTTTGCAAGACTCGTTTCCGAATACCAACCCAGTGGTGTTGGGGTTCCATGTTAATCTGCAGGGGAGTATAACTACATTGACCTTTCCAACCACCCAAATGATCCCTAAATAGGCCAGTCTCATGGATGGTTGGGGACTGGATCATGCCCAACATGCAGGTCATTTGGATGGAATGATTCCAGTCCCCAAAAGTCCTGGTCATCTGATGGAATCTAAAACCTTCTCAGAAGGTATACCTTCCCATACAGGTCGTATGGTCTAGTAAGTGGTCTAGTACCTATGGATGAAAATTCTTAGGGTTCCAAATACCTTTTGGTGAAGGTGAAGGTGGTTGGTGTGGGTGTTGGCGGGGGGGGTCACTCAGGTACTGAGGATGTGGGTCAGGAACCCTGGGCCAAGGCCAAGGCCAGTCGGCCAGAATCAGCATCCTTGGGGCTCCGGTCCCATCTTCGAAGGGGACAGACCTCTCAACTAGCATACCAAACCCAACCACATCCAACCACCTGCACCCACAACGCAGGTACCTGCAACCCTCTAATTGCATCGGACTTTCAATAACAGTGCTACACTCTGACTCACATGGAAGTGGAGTGGCGTGGCCTCTTGGAAGACTCCTTTCCTCTACATCCCCGATCGTTGGGACCGGAGCGGTCTCTCTCTCTCCCAGCCACGCTGAACGCCACGCGTTCAGCGCCCACGCCAGGTCCACGGAGACGTTGCTGAAAGAAGTGCTGCTGAACGAGCCTGGGGTAGGACATGGGATGCGTTTGTTTGGATTGTTTTTTGTTGGTCAAAACCGTCGGCGCGGACATCCTGTGAGCGAGTTGGAGCTGTATTCTTGTTTGAGGGGTGTGTTGTGTTTGGTTTTGGGGATGTCACTAAAGAGCTCAAGAGAGAGGTGGAACATGAAAACATGGTGCCACCGGCCTTAAAACCCAAATAACACTGTTTGACCATTGGGATAAGTCATCTCCGTTGGACATCTGAGGAGGTGGTTATGGTAGATGTTGGGTCCGTCCCATTATTTGTAACAGGATGTAAACATGAACATCGCTAGTTTACAGATGTCGGCCTGCAACATCCACTGTTACTTGCAACAAGAACCAATTAGGGGTCACAGAGCTCGGGGTGGTGTGAAACGTCCCATCCAGTGAGTGGATGTGACCAGGGCACCCCGACTACCTCCATGGATCGCACCCCTTTGAAACTCCTGGAAGGTACATGTTGCTTATGTCAGTGTCGTCCTAGGCCGATGGGAGATGGAGTTTGACACGCCTCCTCACCCGCATCGTAGAAGATTCACTGCCCAGTAGCCTGCTAAAACATGTCCCTAAGGACTTTGCAGCTCTGATCATAACTTCACCCACACACCATGTCATAGTTCTTCCAAGATCTAAGTCCAGGTCTGTGGAAGACAAGTGGATTGAACATCAGATATGACCATCCGCATGCTGACGAACTTGATTTCCACTAACATGATCTGAAGGGCATCATATTCCATGTTATGAGATGGCAGGGCAGGTTGTGATTGCTTCTTCGCAAACGGTTCATGTTGAAACCATCGTTTCGAACCCAGTCGTTTCCTTTCGTTTCGTTTCGGGTGGGTCGGGGGGTCATCCGGGGTGTTTGTCCCTATCCCTAGGCCTCCAGTCGTACCTTCTGAGAAGGTGTTTGGGGTGGGTTGGGAGGCTCCAAATACCTTCTGAGGAGGTACGACTGGAGGTGTAGTGTATAGCTTCGGATGTGGGACGGAGTAGATTTTGTGACTCAACAGTCATCGATGATCGAAGAGTATACCATGTCCCACGCTGACCCTCGGGTGGGGTGTGCTTCAACCCTCCCTGAAACCATTCACTGAAACGTGGAGATTCACGGCCTGTTCGTAGAGGAGTTCACGGTCTTCTGGGTAGGGCCATGGTCCACGTTATGCCGCATGTTTGTAGGGTTTAAGGCTGGTATAGGAAACGCTTGAACTTGGACCCCGCATGACATCCAAATCAGCAGGTCCTAGACTGAGACCAAGGGTTCGAGCGGCAGAGCGGCAGATGTGGCGAGAGATGGACTTCCGCAGATGGAGCGACCGAAGTCGTGTTCTACGTTCGACCCTCCCTTTGATGC